TGTTCGATCACGATGATTAGTGGTACTGCTCCCATATAAAATATTTAAAGAAATAACTCCAGTTTATTCATCGTTTTATATCTTCTTCTAGTCCTTCTAATATCGCTATTATGCAATACTCTGACCATCGCCGTTTATCTTTACTTAAAGGAGCTCCGGAATACGCTCGGAAAGTGCGTTGTCTCCAGCCTAATATGCTTGGGTACTACCGACATCTTGGTCATGAATATATCGGAGATCGTCAACCAAATAATACGTTAAGTATGCCTTTCGAATTGAGAGGATTCTTTAACAACTTTATCTTTTTTAGTATCGGTTTTTAACTTCTTCTTCATTTCCTGGCACCTCTGGTTATCCGTGATAAGTTTTCACTTGTGGCAAGTCTTTAGATCGAACGGATTCAAGGAACATCGTCATCAATTTCTGGCCTACAATGCTTTTGTGTGGATCACGGCAGCAATTGTGACAGCAATCAATATAGTGGAATTGGTGGATATAGGTAAATTTTACGGCCTTACATATGTAATTATCCTATATCCTTACACTTCTCCTTAGAACAGCTTTGACTTATAGATACAATTAACTTAAAACTATTAATACTATAATTTAAACTGTTTATACACTGTGTTTAGGGTGGCTTTTCTTGCAAGTCTGTGACATTACCATGCTTATCCTGACTGTCAGAAACATTTGGAAAGTAAAGAGAGAACTGAAGAAGTTTGAACAACGTATTGAGATGCCACCGACCTGCCTTAATTTTGACACTCAAACGTAAGCTCTACATTTGTTTTGGATTTTCCTAACCAATTCTCCCTTATAATTCGTTCTCAAAACATAGCTATCTACAGTTTATACGACTATCTATCTTAATGGGCCTTGACCAGTCCTTCAGTACAATTCTTATGTGCATTTTTTATTTTGCTAATGATGACTTTGCCAATGTGGTTCTAGATGTCGGTTACTGGTTCCATAACACTACTGGTATTTTAGTTTTCCCACTGCTTGTTCTGAAGCGAAGCACCCTAAAGCTTCTCAAGGATAAGTAAGTTTTCTTGACTAAAACTAATATTCTATTAAAGTTCTTTATGTTTTTTTCAGGTTTAAAGAATTGCTATAATGAAAGTATATGTTATACCGCTAAATTTGGAAGTAAAGATAAGGAAAACAGAGCCTAGTTTGTCCCATGACAAGATAACATCAAAACAACACGAATAAGCAAAAGTCGTACATTTTTCCCCTGTGTATTCGGTTTGCAAATGAAAAGTTACGCACTTCACGGGGGGGAGTGGTGGCGTCGCTTCGGGCCATCATAACTTCTACTCCAGGCCAACTCCCATTTGGCTGTCGCCTGTGCTTGGGCTCAGACATTTCCATTGTCCATAAATCAAATGTTGCTTTGAAGTTGCCGCTTGTTTGCTGAGGTCCCCCAGATAAATGAAACTATATATAGCCATAGCGGAAATGCGGGAAAGGAGAGAGATGAGTTGGCTACTGAGTAGTACTTGGTCGACCGTGTGTTTCTTAACTACTCAACGTTCTCATTATTCAATTTTTAAATGCCATTTACAATGAAATGTTCTATGACATAAGAAAATGTATTTTTTTTTATGGAAAACAAATGGGAACGGAAATCTCATGAATACACTATAAGCAAGAGAGTGCCGACTAGAGCGTTGAGCTGTGGGCATTTTCGCCTCAGTGAATTTCGGAACTTTTTGGCGCCAATCCGCGAGCTTTTCCGGGGCAGGCTGAAATATTCAAAACTTTTTCCCATTTCGTGGTAAATTGCATTTCCGAATGGCTGCTCCAATTGGACGAGCATGTGCCGAGACAATCAAAAAATTTCGAGGCGTACGAGGCAGTAAATTGAATTAACCCCCGGGAAAAAAACGTTGAGCACTTCCTGGAGTGCGTGGCTTCCGCTTCCTTGGCTCCAACGAATTGGATTCGAGGTCCTCTGAGTGATGGATGCACGATGATAGTAAAAGTGTGGCATTGAGCAAGTGGAAATGTAAACAAGTATGCCACATGTGTGACGGAGCACAATTGACTCGTCTTGGCCCGAGTTGGGCAACAAAGACCGGCTTTGTGACTCAAGTTAATTGACTTGGCCCTTTGGCTGCTTGGTGGAGGCATTGGGTTAATCGTCCAGGATGCGGAAGATACATATATGCTCCAGTTGCCAGGCAGATAGGGCACGAGTCTAAGGACTATTGTGTGACTGACATCTTAATTAAAATGACTCATACGCACCGTTTGCCATGCCCCTAAACATTTATCCTGCAACATTTCAAATCGCACACAACAAGTGTCTTGGGCACAAATGTTGCCAAGGCTGTGACTAAGCCAAAACAAAATCCTAAGCAAATTAAAGAGCATTTATTCTTTGATCTGTTTTTGTTTTGTTTGTTTAGAGTGCTTCTTCAATATATCAGATTTATTATTATTTTGCCTCTTTTTTAATTTACTAATAATTGCTTGTTATAGGAACTGGTTTATAAACATAGATTCGACTACCTTAATGGATTTGGGTTTATCTACCTCTCTCTGAATATTTGGCTGATATCCAACCTTGGGTCAGTGAATCAATCCCCAAAAACAAACTCAAATAGTATTTACCTAATTTTGGCACATTTATTTTTCATATTTTCCCCTGAAACAAATAGATTTTCGGCACTTTGCCTTGCTAATTTTGCTTTGGCTTTCGTTTCCGCTGCTGGCTCATTGACAATATGTTAATTTCATAAATAATAACCAGCAATTACGAATGATTATTTCGCTTTGCATTTGGCATTTATAGGTCTTGCTCATTGTTTGTTCTCATGTCTCACCAAATGTCCTGCGGCAATATCAATTAACTTGAACGCTAAATACAGGCACGAGCTGCGTTAAATTGAGTTTCAAGTACTTTTTCAGCCACCTGTGCAGACATTTCCCATGAATTGCTCATAAATTTGATGTTAATTACCCAAGGACGTACGCCAAGGACCCGTTTGAAAAAGCACGTGGATGGGCTTAAGCCCTCATTTTCGGTAGCTGACACTTTGACATTCGAGAGCGTTTAAGGCGATGACCCGTTATTGAAAAAACTGACGAGAAAAATGTAATTATTTTTACGTTAATAAGCTCTTCTTAGTTTTTAATCGCAAATAATATTTTATAAAGTTCATAAGGTTCCATTTTTTTTTTGGTAGTCGATTTCGTAATAACTATCAGTTATTAATTACAAGTTAAAGCATAATCTGAAGTAAGGGATTTCTTGACTTTGCTAACTGCCCTATAAGTCCCTACCAACGGGGAATTGTAATTTCCTGACACGTTGCCACATGTTCTTGCCATTAATTTGGCCGGTTCGCATCATAATTGGTCGGCACCTTGTAAAGGCCAAAACTGATTTCCATATTAATTGCTCATTAGCCCATGATGCGGAAGTATGGCATGCTTTTGGCCCAAGTGCATTAACATGCGGCAATCGGTTGACCAAGATTACGCATACGCAGTGTGGTATATGGAGAGGGTCACCGAGAAGTTGCTAACAGCTTTGCGGTCGTGCGGTTGTTGTGGTCGAGCAAATATTATTGCTGCCACAAACACGAACAGAAGACAAGGGCTAAAATCCAGGGGCCATAAATCAGTTAGCTGGTAGACCTTGGCCGCGAAAAGTTTGGCAACAGATGCCCGGGCCTAATGATGCGAGAGAGAGCCAAGATCAAATATTAATATTCAATTAGAAGAACAATTATTGATTTCTACTCTGGTTTTTGTTTGTACCCTTCCTTTCCTCAACAGTATTTTGATTAAAAAATAGAAATTTAGAATGCAAGCATAACCTGGATAGAGCTCATCTGCAGGCAGTGCACGTTAGGATATTTTATTACAGTCACATGTCGCATGTCCTCACCACAATGGTCCAACAGGATAATGTACTAGGATATATATGTACATATATATAATGCCACAACTATGTAGCCAGCTGGACGGCCAGTGGAGTCTCATTTTTGAATAATTTAATGAGCTGCCAGGCGACGGCGGCGTATGCGCAATATTAAATCCAGGCGACCGCACATTTATCATCAACCCACATCCTTGTACACGCCGACTGCACATCCACATCCATATCCTTGCCGGCACGTCAGTTTAATATGTTTTTAATTGTCCGCCACTGGCAGGGAGAATCTACTTGGCTTTAATGACCGCTTCGCTGCGGGAATGTCTCCTTTTTAATTTTTAATGTCGCCCATTAAGGCGGAATCTTGTATACATATATCAGAAAGACCTCTACGAGCAAGTTAATTAATTTTTACAACGCCACGCCAGTTGGCAACAAAATTTGGCGATAAATCAACTGATAATGTTAGCACATTTAGCGACATCCACATATCCAGCCCGAAGCTAATATTTGGATAAACTTTCAGCCGGCGTTTGCGATTGACGTGCGCGGGCTCAAATCAAAAGGCCACAACTTGCCCACAAGGGGTTGGCAAGAAAGTTTTCTGGGTCAGCGTGCGGGAAAACCTTAATCAGAAACTGCTTAATGCAAGGGTTTTCACAATTTTCACAATCTTTGGGGGTAAACAAGTTAGGAAGGGAGTGTCAGTATGCGTGGACGCACATCTTGTTAAAGTTAAGTGACAATGAAAGGTCAAAGTTGACATGTGTTGAAAGAGAGCTCGCTCAATAACATACTCCAAATGGTTTTTCTATTGATTTTCCTTAAGAAAACAAAGAATGGAAAGTTGTTTCCCTAAGAAAACATAGGCTTAACAAGCATAGCATACTTTGAATTACTTTTAAAATGGACAAATTTTTACATACTTATATTTCCCTTAAAACGGTTTACTTTCCTTTGAAGTTTCTTGTATGTTTTATGTGGTAAGTTATTCTCTCTTTTAATTGCAATTGTCAGGCCTGCAGCATCCCTACAATATGTTAGCCAATTTATTATTCCTTCAGCCGCAAAAGCCATAAAAGCAGACTGGATAAAAGAACAGACGCATATGTTTAAGATGGGGTAGAATGTTTTCAGTGTATAATCTATAAATTCTAAGGCTAGAAGTAAGATATTGCAATTCAGACATTTGGGATACAGTGTAAAAGCATTAAAATAAATCTCTTTTTTTTTTTTTTTTTAAGCCTTATTATCGTACGACGGGGCTGGACTCCTTGGGGTTTTCTCCTATTTCTGTCCACTGCTGCTTTGCTGAATGACAGCGCAAATTTTATCAAATGCCGATTCCAGGCTGTCTATAAAGACTTTTCCATCGGCCTGGTTTTTGTAGGTGGTGACGATAGCGCCTGCAAAATCGTTTTGGATCGAATAGCTGAAAGAAAAATGTATTATACACTTTTTACATATAAGCAATATGGGCTTACCCAATTCCGAAGCCATTCCTAACTACCGGACCGAATGAACCCGCTAGCAGGGCATCTGATCCCAGAGTTGAGGTACTGATGATGTTGTTATTAATGCGTTTATAAGCCTCTGTTTCGTAGAGATCGGGAAGGGGTATTCCCTCCTTTTGGGCCGTGTGCCGAAGGGCGAAGAGATGTCGATCAAAACCTTGGCCCATAGCCGCCTCCTTGGTGAGTTGGCCATGTACCTTGCTGCATTTGTCGATCATCGCTCGCAGTTCTGCCGCACTAGGTTTGCTCCTTTCCGGCTGCAGGATAGCCTCACAAAAGTCCCTGGTGGCATTTGTACACGGTCGCATCGTTTCCGTGCGTCCATGCCGGAAAGCGGAGGTGCTACAGGACTCGTAACTGCCCACATAGCCACTGTAGGCTTGTCGATAGGCTAGCTGAAAGGCCAGCTGGATGATGGAATCGGGACTAAGGCCGTACTGCTTGCAAGTTGGCTTGTTAATATGTGGATACTTCAGCAGGTTCATGTCCAGACTATCTACAATGCTGGCATTTTTATTAAAGGCTTCCAAAACCGCCGACTTTGTGGCATCGTCGATCTCGAAGTTTATGGGTCGTACATTACTGAAATCCCCTTCCGCAGGAGTATGCACCGTCTCCGTTGAAACAAACGGCTGCTTGAGAGTGTCCTTGTATAGCTCGTTAAAATAGCGGAGCACAGCAACACCATCACCCCACGAGTGCTCGAAGTTTATCGCCGTGGTGCCATCCGCGCTGATTAACAGGGATATGGATTTGTCGAACCAACTGTGGGCGAAGAAGATATGATTGTGAATCGGGAATACTATATCTACTCAATCACGATTGCGTACCGATTCTGCGCCTTCCCCGCCAGTAGATGCTTGAGAAGTGGCTCTTGCCTGTCCTCGTCAAAGACTCCATCCTCTTCTCCATCCAAGCAAACACAGAACAGTGCCGCATCCACCTCGCTCTGCAGAAGATTGGCATTCTTGGGGTTACTGACAAACTGCTGCCTGCTTTTGGCCCACTCATCTCGCTGTCCAGAGGTGAAAACACCAAGTGGAACATCGGCTGCCTCGCGGTCTGCATCCAGCTTGATTACAGCCCTTAGCCTGCCCAAAATCACACTTGGGCTCTCGATGTAACCGCTCGAGTCTAGGACATTGACAGCATACATATGACCGCGTCGCATCACCAGAATGTGCTTGGAGTCTGGCGACTGAACCAATTCATCTATGCCAATTCTGGGAATCCTGGATGTGCCGAAAAGACGGTTGTACTGGCTCATGTCCAGCGGGAATGCCTTAAAGGCGTACGAGGCGTATGTGGCAAATGCCTTAGGGGCCACTTTCATCCACCTGCGGTAGCTGGCGGTGTCGCTTTTCTTGGCATTCATGTGGTAGACCTCCGGCTCCAGGAGATCCGATTGCAGGGATCGCCAAAATCGCAGCGAGCTGATGATTAGGTTTGTTGCCCTTACCACTTGGGCTTGGTACTCCGGTCGCGGGTCGCTTTTCATCACCAGCAGCGGATTATAGTTGAGAGGCAGGGGCGCCCGATCGGCCAGATACATGTCGAACCAGGGCTGTGATATATAGCTAGTATGCTTGTTATCTGCATCGTGGTTCTTTAATTTTGCATGCAACTCCATTCCAATTCCCTGGCGGAATTGCTCCACCGTTCGCTTTGTTTCCGTCTGCTCTGCCGAAGAGAGCAACGGCTGCGTGGCTTCCAGGAAGCGCCGACAACTGTTTTCCAGTAGAGGAATGGGTAACCTTGGTAAGGAGCGCTGGAAATACAGCGTCGGTAGCTTGGAACACTGTAGATATTGGTAATGCTGGCCATGAGTGGTCGTGGTTCGAGACGAATTTGTCGAGATCCACGACAGATTGCGGTGCACCCGTGTCCGGAACATGGCTTCTCACTCGATAGCTGTGTGAATTGAGTAACTTTTGTTGTTTAAGCTCGAGCAGCAACGTTTCAAAGTCCAACACAGAAAGCGCAACAACAATTCAGAAATTCGCGAACCATATCAGCTGTTCATCATCGATGATCACAGCTGATCACCGTTATCGATAAATCAAGTAGCGGTATTTTTTCGGTATTTATAGGCTATATTTTTTCATTGGCGCCAAAAAAATTCGTTTTAAATTAAATGTAAGAATATATGTAAATATAACCTGTTACAATTAGGAACCTATTAGGAAAAATTTTACCTTTTTATAAAAAACTAAATTTTATTTGTTCAATCAGTTCCCAGGTAACCTTCCAATTCGAAATTCTTACTGACTTCGTGCATTTTCCCTTATATGGTATATTTATATAGTTAAGAGTGTTTTGTATGACAAATAAATATTACTTAACATACAATCTGCACTTATGTCCTGAGGGAATACTGATATCGATTTGAGCTTTATGCTGTGGACTTCTAGCCCAGTTGCGTTTGCTTTTCAGTGTAGTAGGTTATTTAATCAAGATGAGTTTATATTCGTTCGGTGCTGTTCTCACTACAAATTATTAAAGAATTGTGGATCTATTTTAAATCAAGACTAAAACTTTTGCTTTTTCTTTAATACAAAAAATATATCCTTTAACTTATATGTATTTTTTCTTTTATTTTAGTCGATGTGATATCGGTTATCTGCCATGCTCTTACTATTGCCGTTTATCTATACTTAAAGGAGCTGCGGAATACGCTCGGAAAGTGCGTTGTCTGCAGCCTATTTAGTCTAGTTACTGTTATTTTGATGACCACGTTTGTGGAAGAGCTTAAAGAGAACGATTATTTTAGTTAAGTGTTCTGTTCGAGTTGCCTAGATTTTCAATAATTTTACCCATTGCAGGATTAATTATTGTCTTTGTGTTCGGTACTTGGAATACCTGGTTATCCGTCATAAGCTTCCACCTGTGGCAAGTCTTCAGATCGATCGCATTCGAAGAACATCATCATCAATTCCTGGTTTACAATGTTTTTGTATGGATAATGGTTGCAATATATTTATTAATCGACGCTTTAGCTGTAGATGAATTAGTTTTTATAGGTAATTATACGATATGCCAAATTAAGAAAACAGAAAAATTATGCCAAGTTAATGAGCTCAAAAAGAAATGATTTTGTCTTTTTATGCGAAAAAACGTAGTGTTTAACAATCACGAATCCAAAATACTTTAATCCCATTATAGAAAACTAAGAGTTTTTAGGTTTCTTAACAGACCATAAACTGTTAGTTATACCTTTATCTTCCTGGTATTTAGTGTGGACTCTCGGGAGTATTTTTGATTTAACCATGTTTATTCTGACTGCCGCAAACATTTGGAAAGTAAAGAGAGAACTGAAGATGTTTGAACAACGAAGGGAGATGCCCCCTACCTGCCTCTATATTGACAACCAAACGTAAGCTGCACATTTTTTGGATTTTTCTAACTAATAATCACTTTTTTTGGTAATCCAAACACAGCTTTCTATACTTCTTACGACTATTCGCTATAATGGGTGTTCATCACTTTGTAGCTAAGATTTTTGTATGTATTAGCTGTTTAATAGGCGGTTCAGATAGTTATACGCTAGTGTATACTTCCAACTGGTTATTTAAAGTTTCTGGTATTATGGTTTTTACTTTGCTTATTCTGAAGCGAAGCGTTTTAAAGCTTCTTATGGATAGGTGAGTTATATGTGGTTAAAACTTATAGTTGAAGTAAATATTTTCATATTTTTCCAGGTGGTTCAAATAGGCTTGACTGAAGTAAACTGCTCAGCTGTAGAATAAATGGAATTGATTATAATGTAAATAAAGGATTTAATGCAATACAAAAAAGTTTTGGTCTTTCTTAAAAACTCTGAAGATTGGAATCATCTTTGCGGTTCTTAAAAGTGGTTTAATTCTTATCTCTAGTTCTGTTTTATAATTTATAAAATTATATACATGTATCAATTCGACGTTAATAGACTTTTAATTAAATTTTCAGAACAACATCTTACTTTCTCAGTTTGAATTTCATAATATTTCCCGACCTCCCTTCCCCTTTAACATTTGAAAAGGAAAGGTCTTGCGAATCTCCCTGAGTTCCTCATAATTTCGCACTTTGTCCCGAAGGACTCCGATTCCGTATCCCTTTTCCCCATTTAATGCGCTTCGCTTTTGCACTTTCGCTGGCTTGTTAAATATTAACGCAATTTCACTCCGCCCAATTACACTGCAACCCATCCGCATCCGTATCCGCATACCCATCCGCCGATGCCTCTTATGCAAATTTAAATTGTAGGGGATGGGGAGAGGGGAGTACCGTACCCACTTTACTTAATTTGAGGAATTGAGGGGCAGACGATTTTATTTCACAAGCGCCAATTGCCAATGCAGAGATGAATCGATGGAAAGAGGTCTCGTTAAATTCGACAAAGCATAAAAATTTTATGCGAATTTTCATTTCTTTCTTAGCCCCTAATTTCAGTAAGCCGTTTATTTATTTGGCGCACCTGGGAACAGTGACCGGCGGGGCTGTCAGCAGAATAACCAGCAGAAGCCTTTGACCCACCAGTTCTGTAGTATGAGGACCTCTTTCTGCCCTGAAAACCACCCGCAAGAGCCAGCAGACATCAACAGCGGTCTAGCAAATAAACGCCAAGCAAATGCAAACAAAAACGCTGTTTATCCACGGACGAAAATCGCCAGGATGCCTTGGCCGAAAAGGTGAAAGGACGCTTAAGCACTTGAGAGCCTTCGAATCGAACAAATCGATGGGTAATTGCTATAGCTGTGCGGATTTTAAAGACCAATTGCGGCTTTAAGTCAAATGGTTTGGAGGTTAAAAACTTTGGTTTGTATTGAAATGGGAAAAAATGGTTGCACTTACAGATTAAATAATTTTTTATGCAAGTCAAATATTTCAGAAGCAAACTTTTCCGTCAGTTGCAAAATATTTTGTCTACCTTTTCCGCTATTAATAATGAAATCTATTCAAGAGCCTTTAAAAAAGTTGAATAGGCAAACAATATCTGCACTCATTAACAATGTTTCGACTGTCGTGGCCAGAAGCAAAGGTCTATAAAAAACCTCGTAAAAATCCTTTTTTCTATGGAGGAAAATCACCATTTGTTTCCAGAGCCCATTGCCGGACAATAAAACTGTCGACCATTCCAGCACGCACAGCGTGACTGGGGATTCAAATACAAATCTTTATTTTTTTTGTTGCACCTGGAAGGTGCGACGAGTAAGTTGCTTTCGACAGGTTGACAACTGCGGCAACAGCAAAAGGTGACCTGATGGAAGAGTTAACAGGCAAATTCCATTTGCCCCATGATGACAATGGCAAATGGGTTTAACCTCCCTACGTTCTCGAGACAGAGATTTGCATAGATGGCTCAGCATAAATGCCGCATTCCAGTCAAGCAAATCATTGACATGGCCCATAGATGGCTCTCAAATGGCCGCGTTGACAGGGTCAATAAATGGAGGCTATAAAATAGGCCTCACTGTAGAAGGTAGGTATGTGAAAAGCGAAAAGAAACTCAGGATTAAAGAGGAAAAAATATATTTAAAATGGAATAAAGTTTAGTATTTTTATAACAATTAAGTTCAATATTTTACATAATTTAAATAAAATATTTTCCCCATTAATACAACAGATTAAGAATCCAAATCAAATGTTACCACAGACTAAACCAAAGCCAGGAAGTTGAAAAACGAAGACAAAAAGCTGTGAACAGTCTGACAAATTGGTCTTTATTCTACGCTGGCTTTTCCCGCGTTGTCGCCCCGCAGGCATTCGAGGAAAATTCAAATTTAATTCACCCTCACCTGGACGTGCATGACAAATAAAGCCAGCAGATTAAGTCAAGACCCACACGAAAAAAAAACAAGGAAACAAAAAACAAGATGCCGCCCACAAGCCCTTGATTATGTTGTGGGCTGATGAATATGAATATGTAAAAGCTTTTTGGGGCCGCAATTTGCGGCTCTTGTGTGCAATTATGGACAAACATGTTAATTTTCATAATTGCCTTTCATTTCCCAAGAAAATAATGCACATAATTGCAGCAATTTTAGGGGACACTGAACTCGCTGTCATTAATTTATGACCAGCCACGAGCGATGGACAGCAGCATAATTAATATGCCACAGGATCACTGGGCACTGGCACTGGGGAATCCTTTTTTCCAAGGCAACAATATCAGGGTTCAATGTCACCCGCAATCAATAGCTGCAGGCCACAAAGTTTATTGATATCCCCGGGTGTGGCTTGCAATAGGGTATATGGTGGTTTACTGGCTGTCAGTCAATGAGCCAAAGTCAGTATAGTGAAAATGTGTATTTTAGTAATTATAAAATGGCCATAAACTAGACCTAAGATCTCTGTTTACTATACATAAAGTTTATTCTGGCCTATAACGGAAGGCTCTCTTCTTTATATTACAATTTTTATACTACCAAAATGTAACTTAAATACCCCTAAAAAACCAAACTCAAGGAAATCCCAAAACGATTAGGGATATAACAAAATAAAGTAATGATTACACACATTTGGTGAAACGCCGCCTTCAAAGTCAAGGCCTTCGAGCCGAGAAAAAAGCAATGGCAAGACCAATTACCAGATGTATATAATAGGATGCGTGTATGTAAATCAACGGGAAGCTCCCTTGACTTTTGAAAAAGCCAATTCAAGGATTCCGCCTACTACACAACCGCCATTGTGATGATTTTCCTAGAAGGCCAGACAAATTGCTCGCTTCGTTTTTTCTGTATTTAATATGTTTTTTTCTTGCAGAAATTTCTTTTTCGAGAGCCAAGCGAAATCATTTTTCACAAGAGTGGAAACAAAGACTATAGGAACAAGGGGAGCGGCAGCAACACATTAAATTGCTATAAAGCCATCGCCAGTTCCCAGGACTCCCACCAAAGGAAGCGGCGCCGACATGTGGACTCTGGCACATCGTTCTGCGATTCCCTGAACCCTGATTCGTGATTCCTGCTCTTGGCCTTTGGGTCCCAGTTACGCTGAGACGACATGTAAGTGATGTTG